CATGTCTCTGTCGTGCAGGTTCTCCTTCAGGCAGGAGTAGCCGTCAATGCGGCGGATTTCAAGGGACTGACTCCGCTTCACTTGGCCTGCATGTACGGCCGGACAGCTACCGCCGCCTATCTCTTGGGAATGGGAGCGTTGAACAACCTGACGGATATCAATGGAGATACGGCCCTCCACTGGGCTGCCTACAAGGGGCATGCGGATCTGATGAGACTACTCATGTACTCCGGCGTGGAACTCCAAAAGACGGACAACTTTGGATCGACGCCACTGCATCTGGCTTGCCTCTCGGGTAATATGACCTGTGTGCGTCTGCTGTGTGAGAAATCGCAGCTGGATCTGGAACCAAGAGACAAGAATGGAAAGACGCCGATCATGCTGGCCCAGGCTCATCAGCACCAGGATGTGGTGCGTCTGTTGTACGGAGAGGTGAAGAAGAAGTCTCGCTGGATTCCCTCTGTTTCGGAGAGCTGGGGCTGGCTATTCGGCGGAGCGGGGGACTCCAAGGGACCGCTGTTCCTGTTCCTCTTCTCGGTGCTGCTGTGGGGCTACCCCATGTACATGATCCGTGCTATCCCCATTACCTGGAACATATTGAGAAGGTCGCACTATTGCTTCATCTATTGGAACGCAGTGATGTGGATTAGCTGGGCGATTGCCAATCGGCGGGATCCGGGGTACATACCACTCAGTTCGGATGCCTACTACCGGGCCATCAAGCAGATCCCGTACTTCGACAAGCTGAAGAAGCGGAATGTGATGCTGACCCGGTTGTGCCACAGCTGTAGGTGCCTGCGTCCGCTGAGGGCCAAGCACTGCCGCGTGTGCAACCGGTGCGTCTCGTACTTCGATCACCACTGCCCCTTTATCTACAACTGCGTGGGACTGCGGAACAGGATGTGGTTCTTCCTGTTCGTCCTGTCGGTCGCTGTCAACTGCTCCTTCACCATATACTTCGCCTGCTACTGCGTCATGATTGAGGGCTTCACAATGCTCTACGTCCTGGGACTCATTGAGGCGGTTGTGTTCTGCGGACTTGGTTGGATACTTACGTGTACTTCGGTAGGTTTTATTTTTCCAGAGAAATTCTTTAGCTCAAATTATTGTGTATTTACAGATCCTCCACGCCTGCATGAACCTCACCACGAACGAGATGTTCAACTACAAGCGATATCCGTATCTGCGGGACAAGCGCGGTCGCTACCAAAATCCGTTTTCGCGGGGTCCCATCCTCAATCTGCTCGAGTTCTTCGTCTGCCTGCCGGATAGAGGCGATGACAACGACCTTCTGCTGGAGGATAACATTTGATTAAGGATCTAGGATCGAGCCCCTGCTCGCCGGCGCAAATTGCCCGTGCGTGGATAATGATGCGAGGAGGCAGCCAAGGACCCACTCGGGTAGGCTGCCTGTTTGGTTTTGCTCCGCAAGCTTTGTGCTTACTCGAATGCTTTAAAGGTCGAACCGAAAGTCAGCCAGTGCGTTTTTATCATCTACAAATTCAATTAAGTTATCAATGCGAAAAGAAGTATCTATAGGGTTTAGTTGTCTGGTAATTACCCTGTTTAAAGGGAATATAAATTTAGCCCACTTAAAATCAAAGCACATAACATTTTTTTAAATTACACAATTAATAATTACAATGCTGAGATTCCATAATTTCAACAGGAATCGACATACTTCCTTTCGGACTGGTGTCCAAGCATCGGCTAGCCGGGTTTTTCGCTTTTCCAACTTGTTACCTTATAGCCGTGGATAAAGATACGCTTCTCTCATTAGTTTTTGTACAAAATTGTTATGTATAAAATGTGTTATTTAATGATCTCTATATTATATACCTACTATAATAATAAATGGTGTAAAAGTTCACTAAATGGCTAGGCAGGAGGAGACCACTCGCGAGTGCCCGCACCAGTTTGTTCATTTTGTGTCCGGGGAATTGCACAAGTAATACTAGCAGAAGATCAGATCGAAGAATATATGTAGTGGGTACACTTTGGCATGTATCTTGGGTGATGGGGGTTTAGAATGAATCGATATTTCGTTTGGTTAGTGTGCGATATGCTTAGCTCTCAAAGCAAAAGTCGTAGTTCTCGGGGTCCTCGGGAATGGGCGGTGGGTCCTTGCTGATATCCACGCCCTCGGTGTCCAGCAGGCGCAGCTTAATCTCCATGGACAGCAGTGTATCAAAGTCCTCGTTTTTTTGCTTGCTGACCATCGGCTGGCACAGCAGGGCGTTAATTCCGTCCGTCCAGTAATTGAAGATGCTTTCGTCGGGCGCCACAAAGTCTAACGTAGAGTGCTCCATATTCTCGAACGTAATTGAAAATGCCAGATTTACGGCGGATTTCCTGATGCGAGTTTCTTTCATGTGCGGGCATTCCTTACCCTCCAGCAACTGCTTAATCTCACTGATGGGCAGCTTCTTAGGCAACTCCTCCATGGTGGGTATGTTCTTCTCATCGCAATCGCCGTAATGTATGACCTTGTGATTGGGCGAAAGGCGGGCGTACCAGAACTTGTCCTTAGTTCTAGTCCCCCGCAAATATTTAGCGAAACGAGTGCCTATAAAAGCAGATAATAAAATATAATATTGCGCAATTATATTTCTCTAGATAGAGTCCTACCTTCCACCAAAAACGAAAGCCGCTGCTGCTTTATGAGCTCGAGGATGTGGGGCGATATCTTTTCCTTAAGTTTCACAATAGCTGAGGCAGTGGAATCGCATTCCTCCTTTGAAGTACGCTCCTGCTGACGCAGCGTTGTGATCTGTTGATAGGTTAGCAAGGCGATCTTGTTTCGAAAATCCTCCAAGTTCTCGGGTCTAAGCTTGAGAGTGCGTTGGATCTGCTCCCGCACCACGCTAAAGGTGGTGGAAAAGTCTTCGGCAGTGGCACGCATATCCTTCCATGTGCGATTCAGCGTAATGACACAAATGCAGAAAAACTCCTCGAACGGCGAATCGTGGGTGAAGAACATGGGCTGGAAGTCGCCGGATTGCTCCGCTGGTGGCTCGCCAATGCGCAGGATGTCGCACAGCACCTTGACCAGCTCGATGGATGTTCGTCCAAAAGGACACTCGTGCTCATCTGCACGGCACGAATTCTCCCGCACAATCTTTGCATACTGCTGGGTGTAGTTACGGGCGAAGTATACCATGCAATCCAAAGCCAATATGCCTAAAAGAGAAGTTTTGATTAAAAAGGGAAGGATATGTATTATTCTAGCAATTCTTTACCCGGTGGTGTCTCTATGAAATCCTGGGCAGGATTAATATCGCATTTAAATCCCAGTTTTTTGTAGTACTGAGAAAAGTTCACGTTGCCAGCTCCGGAGCCACCACCACGTCGGATGTGATCGTCACTCTGATTCAAAGCGTTGGTGTGGTCGTCGAAGGCGATACGCCGTAGCTCCTTAATCTTCTCGTGGGCATCCTGGTCCTGGGCATTCATCTTCATGCGCATCCGCTTCTCAAGCAGACCGAGGGTCAGAGTTTGTAACACATACAGCTGGTGGGTCATCTCGGTGCCCAGTCCGTTGCCAATAAGGGCCAGGCGGAACTGCTTGGCGCTGATGGTGTGGGCGATGGTTCTTCGGCGTGATTCGTCTGCTTTGACGAACAGTGCGTTTAGCAGGGCGATTGCATTTTGGCGCATCACCGGTGAGTTTACCTCCTGCAGAAGTCGCAAAATGTCTTGCAGCTTGATGTCCTCGGCTACCAGGACGTGCTTGTTGCTGCACATGACAATGTTTTCCAGGTTGGACAGGGCGCTCTCTCCGCAGTTCGTGGGATACTTCTGGAAGTTCCTCACAATCTCAATGTTGCGAGCCACAAAGGAGTTTTCCGGCACCTCCCAGGACACCGTGCCGTGCTCCATTAACTCCACGAAGCTGGCCAGGCTGTAGTTCAGAATCTCCTCGTTGGTCTGGCCGCCCTCCTCTATCATCTTAATGAGCGTGTCCAGACCCTTCTCCTTGATGAACTCCAGGGCGAAAGTGTGATCAGTGCTCAGCGAGGTTAGCTCCTTGAGGCGCTGAGCCTTTTCCTGGGGATTTCCATTGAGCAGGACCTCCATGGCATCGCTGGCCGTTTTCGAAGGAGAGTACTGCAGCCGCAGTACGGAGCCGTTCTTGATCTCGTTCCGGTTCTTTTCGGTCACGTACTTTTGGTTGTTGGACTCGCAGAACTGGAGGGCGTAGTTCTGGTGATCGCTGATGGACCAACCATTGCATATGTCCTGAATTTTGCCTGAAAGCGAAGGAGAGATAAGTGACCATAAAGCGACTACCTATCTAAAGCAACGCTTTGAATTTCAATGAGGAATGGAAATGAGAGGTCGCTGACATCACGATAGCAATAGAACATACATATGTTAAAGGGCGTTGGTTTAAGGCTTTTGCTTCTTGTGGTTTTCTCCCACAAATGTCAACTAAAATCATGTTTTATTCCTTTTAATAAACTTATTTAGCTTAATTAAAAGGAGTTTTGCATAGTGTTCCTGCCTAATCCTAATCTTAGTTATTATCTTTTATTTACTTACTTGCTAGGGGATGTCTTTGATCCAGGTTTATCAACTGCGCCATATGGTTCTCACGCTCCACCGCTATCTTCACAATGTGTGAGTCCTTAACCGTCGTTTTTTTCGGAATCATTTTGATAGTTTTGCAACTAGCGAGAACTGCAAATATTATTGTTTTTTTTTCTGCGTAAACTAATCTTCTGATGTTGATTAATTTAAGACAGTGTGGCCAGGTCTCTGAGCTCATAAAATATATTTTTATAGGAAAAATACCGCAGCGGCTTGCGGCACTAGTAACATAAGGCGGGAAGAAATTTTTGTTTTCAAATGTTATTTTGTGATAAGTCCATTTAAAAGTAATTCATAAATTTATAATAGGGTTTTTTTAAATGGTTACTTTAATAATAAATTTAGCTTAAAGCAGTAAAACGAATAAACCAGTGATAATAACATTTACTTTTTAATAAAAGTCTGTTGGATATACATTTATTTTAAATAAACTTTACTGTGGCTATTATCTAGAGGTCAACAGTTTAATCAATTCGCCTACAACCTTAACATTAATACTATTTCCCAGCAGCCGATACTTTTGTCGATTCGTTGTCTCTGCGGGAAACTCGAACTCCTCAGGAAAACTCATCAGACGAGCCACTTCGCGAGGAGTGAAATATCGCAGTTTCACTTGATGCAGGAGATCCAGTCGCTGCTGCAAAACCTCCTCCGATTTTACAGTTTCTTTATTATTTTCGTCGATCTCCTTGACCAGCTCAAAGATCCGATGGGATTCCGCCATCGAGAGCGGTGTAAATGCAGATCCCGTGCCTTCGGTGTAGTGGGTGTAGCCCTTCGTAAAGCACATAGATCTACTTTGCGTAGGATGGATTATGTCCATGACCAGAACTCTTTTGGTCAAAACATCATCGGGCACTAAAAAATCGGAAGGTACATTTTCGTCCACGATCTCTGAGATTTCGGAGAGGGTCTGCTCCTCTGTTTTGCTTCCCGGCATTTCCTCCCAGATCTTTCCGCTAGCAAACGGGAAATCCTTATTTTTGCGGGCTATGCAATAGTAGCGATATCGGGTATTGGGAACATTGAATTGCGTGGGCGTTAGAATAAACTCCCGCCAATGGAATTCAGCTTTCTCTAGAGCCTCAATGAACTGATTCCGCGCCTGTGAGCTCTCGAATCCCTTCACGTTCTCCATGAGAACGTACTCAAGGTCCTTGCACTCCGGAATGAGCCCACAAAGGTGAGTAAGTGCGTCCGACCGCTTGTCCTCCGTGTCCCTTTGCAATCCTTGGCGAGTGTGGGGCTGACAGGGCGGAGACATCAGCAGCAGGTTGGCCCGCAGTTTGCCAACTTCCTTTGCACTCAGGCTTTGGATATTCCTGGTTTTAACGACATTACTGCCATAATTATGCGCATAAACAGCATTAGCTACGGTGTTCACATCCATGGCGGCTACAATTTCTCCTTCTAGCTCTGCATCTGTATAGGAATCCTTTAGTTGTATATGTTTTTTAAGTTGCCAACTCACATTTAAATGCATAATGCATCCCGCCAATGCCGCTAAATAATTCTAAAACCCGAAAATCCATTTCTAGTGATTATTTTTGTTTACAAACTACACGTTTCGGCATGAACGTTTTGCAACACTGACGCTAACAGCAGGTTCCCTCGTTTCGGTGAGAATGGTTTTAGGCAGAAGAAGAAGAGCATCAACACGTGCCGCTTACATTTGTTAAACTTTTCCCAATTTAACGTAAAATGATTAAAACTAAGCGAAAACCAGCACCTCCGCCGGTTGAACAGGACTCCGACAGCGACTCCAGCTTTGATGCAGAGGAGCCACAGGATGCGGATGTGGATGTCCAGGTGGAGCCAGTCACCGACAGCAGCGATGAAGAAGCTGCCTCCAGCAGTAAACTGTCCAAAAAGCAGTCTGTTGAGGATTTAGAAGATGAGGATGAGGACGAGGACGACGAGGATGACGACGACGAAGAGGATGAGGATGACAAGAAGACACGCATTCCAGTCTTGAATCCTCTAAGCCTGATGCGCAACAAGGAACAGCGTTTGGCCCTCTTCAAAAAGATGAAAAAGGAGAAGCATAAGAAAAAGATGCAGGAGCGACGGGCCCGCCGCAAGGCAGGAGTGCCTGCCAATCCAGGACACACCATAGAGAGCCTCCGCGAGAAGGACCAGACGGAGGTGGCCAATCTCAACGACTCCGACAACGAGGAGCTGCAAAAAGAGCTGGAACTAGACGACTTTAGCTCATACTTCGAGCGCTCCTATGAGCCCAAGGTGCTGATCACTTTTGCTGACAATCCGGTGACCAAGACGCGCAAGTTTGGGCTTGAACTGTCGCGCATATTTCCCAACGCTCTGGTTAAGATCAGGAACAAGTCGTCGGTGAAGAAGATCTGCAAGAGCGCAGAACGCGAGGAGTTCACAGACGTGGTGATTATCAACGAAGATCGCAGGAAGCCAAATGGCCTGCTGGTCATTCACCTGCCCAACGGACCCACTGCACACTTCAAGGTATCTAACGTGAAGCTCACTTCGGACATAAAGCGCAACCACAAGGAGATAACTAAGCACAGGCCGGAAGTCATTCTGACCAATTTTACCACCCGTTTGGGCCTGACAGTGGGTCGCATGCTTGGCGCCCTGTTTCATCACGATCCAGAGTTTCGCGGCCGCCGGGCCGTGACGTTCCACAACCAGCGAGACTACATCTTTTTCCGCCACCACCGCTACGAATTCTCCAAAGAGGGCAAGCGCGTGAAGCTGCGCGAGCTGGGACCGCGATTCACCCTCAAGCTGCGTTCCCTACAGGAGGGAACCTTCGACAGCAAGACCGGAGACTACGCCTGGATCATCAGCAACAAGCGGCACGCCATGGAGTCCCGACGACGCTTCTTCCTCTAGTTGTATTTCGAGGCATTGTATTTAGGTATAGAGAACTTATTAAACCAACTGATAATACAAAAATAGTAGTTCGATTGAAAAAAATTGATAACCATTAGCGACCGCCAGATTGTTTTGTCGGGGATAAAATAAAATACAAAGTGCTTAGCCTAATAAATGTGCAACACTCAACAGTTAACCAATTGGCACACCACGAGACGACCGTGCTCCGCCATTAACTACATGGTGGGGCACTGGGGACCAGGTCCACCGGCGGCTACGGCAGAAGCAGGATCACCGAAGGGCAGGTCGCCGCCCGTCTCGGCCAGAATCTCTGCCGGCGGCTGGCCGTAGTCTTGCAGTTTGCGCATGTCGTCCAGCACCACGCGGAACTTCTCGCGCTTCACGGCGGCAGAGTCGTCGGCCTTCTCGCTTTGTAAATGGCCCTCGATCACCTTATACAGCTCCATTTGCTTCTGGTATCTGCGCATATAGGGTTTTAATAAATGTGTATTTATGGGAGTTGGTTAACAGCATACCTCTCCTTGTCCTCAGCCGAAATCTTGGCGTCGTTCTCCTCGAGGTACTTGGGGTACTTCTCTAGCAGCTCTCGGATGCTGGGCAGCAGAATCTCCGCCGAAAGCAGGCTCTGCATCATGCCCTCCATAAAAGGAAGGAACATGTTGCCATCCCCTCCGCCAGCCTGCTAAAGGGGGATTAGTTTGATGGTGACAAGTGTTCGTCAAATGAAGCATACCCCGTCCAAGTTCAGGGATCCAAACATGCTGGCGATGTCGTTCTCTGAGGCGGGAGCGGCCAGGTCCTCGGAGCCCTCCTGCAGGCCCTTAAGTGCCTGCGAAATGCTATCGGAATACTTTGAGACATCCTCGTCGGTGGCCGAGTTCTCGCCGCTCAAGGTGAGCGCAGCTGCCTCGGCCATCTTCTTGAACCCGGCCATGATCTGGTCGGGATCTTGGGGCAGGGGCGGTATGTCGCCACTGGGCGTGTTCGGACCTCCGAAGAGCGTGTTCATGCGATCGGCCAGCACCTTGGCTTGCTCACTGAAAAGCGGTTTACAGGTCAAAATACAAAGTTCAAGTGCCGAGCTGGAATCCTCCAGTGACTTACATGAAAAACGCATCGGGATCCTCGGAGCCCTCGGCTCCTTCAGTAGCCGCTACATCCGAGGAAGAGGCCTTTTCCTGTTTGTCGCCACCACTTTTGTCGAAGTCCTGCAGAGCACCTGTGTAAAAAATTGGGCGACGTATTGCGCATTATGTAAGGGTTAGGAAATAGATCCCAATATGAATATATGGCTTGTACTCACTGTCCAGCAGGTCGTTTAATTCATCGCCGTTCTTCTTTTCCTCGGACATTGTGTAATTTCGGGCAGTTTTTACCTGATTTCGAGGTGGGTGGGAAATGGTAAAAAATAAAGACCGACTAAACAGTGGGACCGCACAACTGGACCTGGAAAATCCCAATGCCAGTTAAACAGGTGTGGCTACACTGCAAACACATTTTAGTGCGACCATAACCCTTAAACACTGTTCGTAAAAAGTTCTTTATTCTTTTTATTGGTGGATATTTTATAGATAGTTTCGCAATAAGGTGCCAAAAATATTCCGCAAAATACTTTAAAAGTTGTTAAGAAGGCACTTTTATAAGCATTTTTCCCTGTGTTACCAATAAAACTAATTAGGCTTAGGCAGATTTGGGGAATTAATGATACACTGTAATTAGATTTTTCTAATATAATACATAAATTTCAAATTTTTTTTAGGGTTCAAAAAGCCATGTTTTTATACCCTAGCAGAGGGTGTTGTAATTTTGGTCAGAAGTTTGTAACGCAGTGAACGAGACGTTTCCGACCCTATAAAGTATATATATTCTTGATCAGGATCAATAGGGGAGTCGATATAGCCACATGGCTATCTGTCCGTCTGCCCGTCTGTCCGTCCGTCCGTCTGTTTCAATACCGTTTGCGAGCTCAGTTTAAAAGCTAGCGATCTGAAACTTTCACATTCGTCCTAAAACATGTGTACGCAGATCAAGTTTGAAAACCCCGATCGGATGTCTATATCCTATAGTTCCCATAGGAACAATCGGAAATAACTTGCAAGAATGGAAGATATTTCGCGCAGTGTAAAAGCTATTAACATAAATCTTTTCAAATCTTATTTTTTTATGCATACTTTGATCAGGGTAAAAGCGCTTGCCGATCGGACGTCTATATCCTATAGCTCGCATAGGAACAATAGGGTGAAATCGGTCCAAATTTGATGATTTTAGATTATTTCGCGCAGTGTGTAAGCTACTGACATATATTTTTCCAAGTCTTATTTATTTACGCATATCTTGATTAGGGTAAAAGCGCTTGCCGTTCGGACGTCTATATCTTATAGCTTCCGTAGGAAAAATTGTTAAAGGCTGCGAAAGTATCCCTTTTTTTCTATTTTTATATGACATTTTTGCAGTATAAAAGCAATTGAAGTCAAAAGATGCAAATCTAGTTTATTTATGAATACCTTATTCCTTTCGCTACTTTTTCAGTTTTAGCAATTTCGGCAAAGTCTGCAAGGGTATTAAAACTTCGGCTTGCCGAAGTTAGCTTCCGTCCTCGTTCTATTTGTAAATAGTAAAATTCTTAAAGCATACAATAATTAAAAAAAGAATTTAAGTTAAATTAAATTTAGCAAACACAAGCCAAAAGTGAAAATTACATTAAATCTGTTTTAGTTCTAGAACAGAGAATTCAAATTAAGATCCGTAGCTTGTTTCAATTGAAGCCCATCTAAATTGGATAAAACATTATGTTATCTAGACCTTTAAAGAAATAATAAACTTCCATTTTGCAAGAATCACTTAAATATCCCTCTTACCGACCAAAATGAAACAATCCAAGGACATTAGTCGAAGATTATCTAAAATAATCACCCAAAATATTTACGCTTGTTCTGCGAAACTCTCAGCCAATCTCCCCGGGAATTGCACCTTGCTGTGCGCGGACGGAGATCGGCGACCAAACTGCGACCAGAACCCAAACCGCACATAGTGAGTGTGAGTGGTGAGGGGTCGCAAATCCACCAAGGTCACGGCGCGACGCTGATGCGCGACCAATTCCGAAACCAGAACGTAACACCCATGGCCGGGGACACATGGATTTTTCAGTAGGGAGTCCTCTCCCGCCCGAAGGTCATCTCTCCGGAGGAACCCCGCCTGGTTTTTCGATTCCTCTCATATGGTCAATTGGCTGGGCTGGGCTGGGCTGTTTTCGACTTTAACCGCACGGTTTACCAAAAGAGCAAGACGAATCTTCGATTCGGTACGCCCACGCAGCGAAATATTGTGGTAAATTTGTGTTTTCTTCTCACAATTGGGGCGGAGTTTTCGACGGGTTCCCGTTTCCCGGTTCCCGAAAGTGCCCAGCATGGGCGGAGCTTCGCCTGAAATAATGCATAATTTGGTGTTTTATTTTCGACTTAGGGTGGGACAAACCGCCTGAAACTCTTACATTTCCTAAAGAAATATGGAAATTGTTAGTTTAAAGGGAGGTAATTCGTTTTCTTTCAATACCACATTTCCATAAAAAAAAAAGTAAATTTCGTGTGTAGGAAACCAAAGTGCATGTTTAACTTCGTTCCCTTCATATCCAAAACAATAGAGAATATAGTTCAATTTAATATTTCCAAGAATGTAAACAGTTCTATAAGTCAAGACAACCGTCAAAAAGTCA